GTTCCTAAATTGATTTAATTGCTCAATTTTTAACTTTTACTAACAAATGAAAATATAATAGAACTTTATATTAAATAATTATGAATTTTTTAATTTATGAAAGCGTATACATATTCTATTTTCGTAGTTGAAGATTTTGCTTATCATATATAAATGATGATTTTTTCGAAATAAAAATATTAATATTAATAAAAATATTTATTGATATAGAGCTGATATAACACACCTTATAGATCTTTATGATTTTATCAAGATACTGATCCTCGAGATTCTCATGAAGCATACTTGCGATTACTCCAGAAACATAATGATTAACTCCTCCACCGCTGCACATTATGCCTCTGAAAAGTTTAAAAATATATTATTAAATATATACAACAAAACAGTTATAATAATCAGTCACAAAGTTTTGAATGCGATATTCATATTCATGTATTATAAATAATATATGCATATAAAACAATAATTAACAACAATTTTAATTAAATGATTTATATAAATTGTAAAATTAATTTAATATAATAAATGATTTTATATAATACATATTTGTCTTTAAGAATTATTTTTTAAAAGAAAGGCAAGATTTCTTACGACGTCCTCACAACATTCACAATACGAGGACTGCATTCAATCCATCCAAAACGAATCGCTGGTGAAAAGATTTTAGAAAATGAGCAGTTTGATACAATGTTTCCTCCTTTATAGTCTGAATCTTTCGGATCATCATATGAAAATAATCGACTTGGCGGAAATCCTTGTCCATAATAAAGCAAATTATACACATCATCGCAGGCTATTACTATGGAATTATTTCGTGCAATTTTCACTAAACGTTTACACTGATCTGTCGAAAAATCAAGTAAATAAACTAAATTGCATTATTAATACATCAAGAAGAATATGCAAGATCTTTTTATATATTTCATGTATTTATATATTTTAGATTTACTAATTTTTAATATTTTAAAAGAATAAAACTTTTAATAATTAAAAAGAATACATAATTAAATCGCAAATTTTTCTATTACAAAATAATATAGTGGATTATATAGTCGTAATAATGTTACATAAGTATAATGTAATATAAATATATAATTATATATTTAATATAATTTATATTTTTTTATTATTTATTAGATTTATATAATTTCATAAGATCTTACTGTAGTAAGACTATAATAATTAAATTACCAGGCGACAATGTCATTCCAGTTGGATTATGAAAAATTGGTATCGTATAGAACATTGCCCAGAATATTTTTTGATCATTCAGAAAAAAGTTGCCTTTGGACTTTTCTTTAATTATTATTGTTTCAAATGCATCCAAATCTACTGTGTCATCCTTCATCGGTACTATATAAAATAAAAACAATAATAACAGACTTAATATATCTTTACATAATTTTCTTTAGTTTTCTAAAGTATCTAATACTAAAAAGATATATTGTTTATGGTTATTATATATACATTTCGTGTATTATATTTTTATTTTAATTTATAAATATTATATATTTTTATTATATATTCATATTATGTAAATTATATTTCATATTTTTTTTATAAATTTAATAGACTTATGTCATTTCTACCAATGTCTATTAATTTTGATCTTGATTTACTTATTGTCTTTTTTTCCTTCTTACAATAAAAAAAATAAAGAATAAAATTGAGATTAAAGTTAATCTACGTTAATAGAAATAGATATTAATTTTGAAATAAATACTCATTAAAATCTAAAAAATTAACTTAAATATTATTTGTTTTACGAATATCTAATCAATAAAGCACAGTTTACCTGTAACAATTTTTATTAAAGGAAATTGTTTAAAAGCTTCGAGAGCAATCATATAAGTAACTTTCTCCACAAAGATAATACCATTTGGTGAGAGTATGGTATTCAACAATAATTGAAGACCGTGTGATGCTCCGCAGGTTAATATCAAATTTTCTCTCATTACAGAACTGCCATATCGTTTGCTCAAGAACTTTGCCAATTCATCGCGACATTCCCAAAGCCCCGCTGTGATGCCATATTGAAAGAGATAATATTTTCCTTCCTTTTCTTCTTCTTCCTAAAGCAATGTTTAATTTCATCAATATGATTAATTTTAAACCATCAATATATGTATGTTTCGGGATTCCTGAAATCGCTCGCGAAACATTCTATAAATACAGGCAGCGTAATATTGATTTGTTTCATTACTTAAAATATATAAAAATAAAATAATAATTTAAAAGATAATTCAAATAAATTGCAAATCAAATATAATTTAGAAGAAATATATGAGCTAAGCTTAGGATTTTAAATGCTTGCTGATAAAGTTCATGACAATATTTGTACACGTATAAGTATTTCTATCTTTGATTAATAGAATAATCAATCAATTAAAGATTTCATGTTTGCTTACATGTTATTTATATTATTACATTTTACTTACATGTTACTTATATTTTACTTATATTTTATCATTAAACATCAATTTAACTTATACTGCTTTTGTATTTTATTTAACTTTAAATTATTTAAATATTATTACAGTTTAATTTTAATATGAAATAATATTTAAGAATTTTATATAATAATTATATATATTGTCGCGCTCGATATGATAATTATATATTATATATTATACATTGTAGCAACCGTGCACAATTCACTCCCGCTCATTTCCGTATTCATTCACTCGTAAAATAAGCAAGGACACTTTAAGGAACGGAAAAATTTTATTATTAACAATCTCTCAGAAAGGACAATAAAAACGAATACTGCTACTTTGCAGCTCTTACATTCTTTAAGATTATCAAACAACAACCGCGTCGTTAAGGAAATCACCGCTCGGTCGTAATAATTTTATATAATAATTTTTTTTAAACCAGAGATTTTTTTTATTAAAGTATTCATAAATGGCTAATCACTAGCTTTAATAGCATCTTTTGCTTTAATTAATAAAAGTTAATTAATAATATATTATAAATGTTTGTAAAAATTATATATGATTTATAAAAATATTAATATGTATAAATTTCTTCTAATTTTAATGACTCCATTTTTCATAGATTATAATTATTCATACTAATTATTCACATCTTGTTTATACAACTTACATAATGAATACAATGGACATATGTACATACAAAGTCTAAAGTTAAAAATAAGAATGATTCATAGCTTATTCTTAAACATTATCATGATTATAATATATTTTTAAAGATAAAAATTTAGGAAAATATAGAAAACTTAAGAACTTAATGGTTAAATATATCGTCCCATCAAATACATAGTAATAATATTAAAATATAATTGATCTTTACCAATCTGTGTTGTGTGGATTTATTCAGTACTTCTGCACAATGTTTTAATAAGTCAGGACCAGGTGCTCCAACTGATAAATTTACAGCTTCTTGATTATAAACATTGAATATCGGATCGCCATCAAACAAGTGTCTCAAATATGGGTCATGAACAGTGTCCATCTTAACTGTCAAATTGTATAATTTGTGTTATCTCATTTTTATAAAAATTTTACAATATATGAATAAGCTTTTATTAAATTACAAACTAAATGTATATATAATTAAAATGATTGGAAATTATGATTTAGATAGAATTAACTTTAATTCTCTTATTTTTTAATTACTTATTATTTAATACGATATATTTATTATAATTTTTAATGTAATAAATATTCAAAAATTTTATTAATAATGTAAAACATTAAAATATTTGACATGTATTTTATTAATTTTATATATCATAATGCATAATATTATACTTCAATAATAATGAAAAAAAATCATTTTTCAAAAGTTTTTTGATAAAACGTTTTATATAGTTATGTACATAAATTTCTATTAATTTCTATTATTCTATTAATAAGTTTTTAAACTTACAATTATATATAGATAAAC